GTGTGCAGGTGTTGTACATGTATGTGTTCTCTTTATATATGTAGCTAATGTTTATATTACTCACCCACTAGCACAGTGACCTGCACGTTGATCTTGCCATTGTTCGCCGCCTTGGATGACTGAATCTGCAACGCCTCAGCACTGGCCGCCGTGCCCTGGTCCGTCAGTATGACCGCTGCGGCGGAGGTGGCACGCTGCAGCTCGCCGCCGCTGGCGCCCGGATCGCCCGCCTTGAGCAGCTGCTCGTCGTTCTCGCGTCCGTCGGGCGGACGGCGCGGCAGATAGGAATGTGTCGTTGTGAGCGTTATGTTGTCCACAGCATCCGCGGACTTGGAGTGCGACAGGCTGGCCGTCGAGGGCCGTTTCTCAGCGCTGTTAATGTTATTATTGTTGTTGTTGTTGTTATTGTTATTGGTCGTGTGATAGGCATAGCCATTGGGCAGATCAGCGGCAGCTGTGGCCGCCGTGGAGCCGGAATCGGTCGCCTCCTGTGCCTGCAGACGCAGGCGAGCCTCCTCCACAGCATCCTTTTTGGTTGTAAGCGTTTTGTCGCGCAGGCTGGTGCGACGCACCGATTGGGCTCTAAGCAGAGAGAGAGAGAGAGAGAGGGAGGGAGAAATGAGATATTACATATATTTTAAGATATTATATATGTTGTTATATATGTAGCCTACCTGGTATTGTTGCTCTGCGAGCGCCGAACGCGCCTTCGTTGCGCCTCCGCCAGTCGTTTGCTCTCCTGTTCCGTCTTCAGCTGCTCGATGCGTTCACGTATCTCTGGATCCTCACAGATATCTAAAAGAGTTGTTTGACATAGTAAGTATATATATATATATATATATATAGAGAGAGAGAGAGAGAGATCTCTCAGCTTACCTGAAGGCGTTTCATCGTCTTTGTTGCGCACATTCAAATCAGCACCACATTGCGCCAGCATCTCCAGAACTTCCAGCTGTGAGGATAATGAGAAACAGGTTAAGGTAAGATAAGAGCTCCATATTCTATTAACACTCCACTTACATGCCCCCAACATGCTGCTGCATGCACAGGCGTCCACAGATCCTTGTCCATGGCATCCACATTGACGTGCTGCTCCAGCAAGAACTCCACGACGCGCACGTAGCCATTGGCAGAAGCTATGTGCAGCTGTGCGAGAGAAAGAGATAGAGAGAGAGAGGGAGGTGGATTGTCAGCAATCTTTTCTTGTGTATTCATCAAGCTCAACTCCTCTCACTCACCGGCGTGGCGCCTTGATAGTCTGGCTCCTCGAGATCCCCACCGGTGCGCGCCAGCTCCATTAGGTCCTTGAGCATGAGTCGCTCTGTGGAGGAGCGCGTCTCGTCGATGAGCTCCTGGGTGACGCCCCGTTGCGCCATTTCGCCCTCGATGAAGTCCAGGGTGTTCTCATCGTCGCACAGATCATACGGCATATTGCCATCCGTGTTGACGGCCAACAGATTGGCATTGTGCCGTATGAGTATGCGCACCAGCTCCAAATGGCCGCAGGTGGCTGCCGCATGCAGCGGCGTCCATTTATCACTGTCCTGCGCATCCACATTGGCGCCATAGTCGAGCAGCAGCCGCAGCATGTCCACGTTGTTGTCGATGCAGCACTGATGCAGCGCCGTTAGGCCATCCTCGTTGGCCGCATCTGGTGTGATGCCGTTCTGCAGCAGTGCCGCCACCTCGGGCATGTCGTTACGCGACGCCGCCTCCAATAGCACCACGCTATTCTCGAACGATATGTGCCGCCTGCCGCTGACCGTGCCCGAGCCATTGGCATGCCGAAAATGATGTGTGGTATCGCCCGCGCCGCCGTTCAGGACGGTGCCGGTGTTGCTGTTGCTGCCACCGCTGCCTCCGCTGCCCGTCTGGCCCTTGGCTCGCTGCAGCTTGAGCCACTCCTTCTCCTTCTGCCTGGCCAGCTTCAGCTGCTGTGCGCGCCTCCTGCAAAACGGACGCTGCATTAGTCTGCCAACTATTTTTATGGGCTACGCTTAAGTGGACTTGTAAATGTTTAATTGGTTTCATATTTATTTGCTCTAATGGGATTACAACTACACACATCTCACTCTCTCACTCTAGACCCAATCAAAACTTGGTCTAGAACTTTTCATTTATTACTTGGAAGTTCGCATTGCCTCTCGCCCCGCTCGCAGTCAAAGTTCAAATAGTGCGAGATTTGTCCTAAACAGATTTTAACTACATCGAACGTGCGTGACTTTGCCCGTTGGCCTTGGGCCAACTGGAGAGAGATCATTAAACGTTCTTGATAGCAATTTCGCATTTCGAACTTCACATGCTTCCCACTCGCAAACAGAAAACAGTTTAAGCAGCTGTTTTAAAACGTTCAATTAGCAAACTTAGTTAAACCTCAGTTCAGCCCCTGCTCCATTAGATAACAGCTTCAACTGTTTTTAGTGAACCTTGCTTCTATAGCGATATTATTTAGCCTGTTCTATTTGGGTTCTTTGAAACCCATATACTCCATAAAATGTATAACGCTTCCTCTGCATCTGTTAATCATTTAATTGCTATGTAACTTTTGGGTTCGGTAAATTTCCAAGTAAATTTTTTGGCATTTAATGAATCAGCTCTTCAAGCTTCCCAGCATTTTACTCTATTTAGCTGTGATTTAGCCATGGCCGATTCATTCATTCAACAGCGTAACGAAAGTGAAAACTTCTCATCTCTATTTCTATAAAAAGGTTTGATTATAGAGCTTTTAGCTACTTATAGAGCACAGCCAGAAGCTGATGACTGAATAAACCAGATCGAATGCTGTTGATTTATATATACATATAATTATTATTATATTATTATTATTAATATTTTATATTATTTTATAATTATTTTAATTAAATTCTATATATTTTTTTATAAATTTTGTTAATTTTTTTAAGGTTTTTTATTTTTTAATTGTTATATTTTAGAACTTGTAATTAAATTTTATATTTTTTTTTTTTAATTTTGTTAATTTTTTTTAAGGATTTTTATTTTTTAATTGTTATATTTTACAAATTTTATGATTTTATATTTATATAATATTTGTTATTTATATATAATTTGTTTTTATACATTTTTCATATTATTATTATTATTTTACATATTTGTTAAATATTAAATATATAATATTTATATTTATTTACAATTTTTTTCCTTTTATTTATTTTTTTTAATGTTTATTTTATTTAAATTTCAATTTAAAGTACTCGGTGTTTTTCATTTAATTTTATCAGAGTTCCTATTGCTGCATTTATGTACTTACAGTCTGGCCAATTGGAGTCTCTCGTGCGTGGGCAGGCTCTCCACCGTCTGCATCTCGGCCACCAGGTCGGCGTGCTCCATCTTGAGCTGCTTTGTGTAGTTGGCATCCTCCTGGCTTTTGCGCTGTACCAAAATGCCTTTGATCATCTTGACGTGGCCTGCTGAAGCAGAGCTGCTGTTGATATGTTGTAGAATATAGCAGTAGTGTTAGTTAGTTATTCACACACTTGGCAACACTGGCCAAGCGTTGTTGTAGTTGCTGCTCTTGCTATTGTGCTTGTTGTTGTTGTTGTTGTTGTTGTTCGTCTTCTGCGTCGTCTGCATGTAAATTGTAATTTGCATTTTTGAGTTTAATTCTCGTTTGTAGAGTGTCGCATGTGGTTAGATATTTGGTTTGTTATCATTGAAGCAGCTGTTGCTGCTGCCACTGATGCTGCTGCTGCTGCTGCTGCTGCTGCATCTATTATTATTAATAACAATATTATTGTTATTATTCTGATGATTGCAGTTGTCGATGTTGCTGCAACGCCGAGGCAGCCGGGGCAGCGCTCATGGCAGCAGCGCGTCCACAACTGTTGGCACCTTGCAATTTCACTTCTCAGCACCCTTTGCGTTCGGCTCTTGCCCCCGCACTTCTACAAACTTTTCAAAGTTTTACAGCTGCCTGCCTGCAAGAGAAGAGCAGAAAGAGAAAGAGAGAGTTAGAGAAAGAAACCAGGTTAAGCCACAAATCATAAAAAGTAAGTCACGCAATTGATTACTCCCACAGGAGGCCTAAAAATAAGTTCTCTCCAGCATATTTCCCAATCGGGCCCATTGCCCACAGGAGCCAATTGTTTGTTAGACTCTCAGCACAAGGAAGGTAAGTAAACAGGTTATAATAAGGCTGCATATATCTATATGCGTGTATATGTATTCCCATTCACAGCGAGAAACTTTTATAAAAT